AGTAGGATTGGAAACAGTAAAAAAACACTCCATTTAACGAAAAAGAAAAGCCAACTTTTGACTAGAAATCATATGTCGGATTTGTAGGTAGAAGTTTTGTTTGGAAGGGAGTATAAACTTCTGACCTTCTCTCAGTCACAATACCTCAGTAAACTTAGCTGAAAGAGAGGTGCCTTACTGCGTTGTTTAAAAATCGAGTCGTGATCGATCCTGGTCAGCCTGGATTAACTATCTCAGGGGAACTTTCATCGTTGCATGCCTGTACGTCCGTAACGTACCCGTCTGTCCGGAAATTGACCGGAGCTAGCTGATCTCGTTTCGATCTCTTGCTAAACTAGTGCGCGCGTGGCTTTGCCACGGCGAATGGTCACTCTGTTTTGTCGGAAGGTAGAATTTAGGTAGTCAGTAGTCACCCAGCTCCATGATGTTGGTTACCCAATTAGCGAAGTGGTGTGTGTAATTAAAGTGGACGGCGGTTGAGGCGTTTGTGCTGCGCGAGCACTTATCATCGTAGTGCGATGCGAATATGCTTCAGCTAGCTAGCACTGATCGTCTTCGGGTCTTGAAATGCAGAGCCGCCTATGAGGTACTCCTACTAGTAAATCAGGGAAAGAAAAAGGCCGAGAGTTACCCTCAGGTGGAGACCAGCAGTGCAGGGTCGACGAAAGGACGCCGGCCGCGCCGTTGCTCGGTGGACGAGGGCGAGTCGCGAGGAAGGCGTGCGCCGCTGCGGATTCGAACTGGTAGAGAGGAGAGGAGCGTGCGATTCCGGGCGGTGGTTGCCTCGCCCTCGCGCAGCGTATGCGGCGTAGGGGACGGACCGCGGATGGGCGAACTATTCGATCGGAGTTTCGACTTTCGACGCCGCAGGTGGTTCGTCCGTCCACGGCTGGGCTGCACACGTTGGATACCATATGGGCCACACGGCGTGGATCCGGATGGGCTTTACGCTGCTTCGGAGGACTTGAGGCAGCCTTACTGCCCTAGGACTTGTTTGGATGATAGCCCAATTATGTGGGCTAAGATTGGAAAAAGTACACCCAAGGTCCCTCAACTTGTCATCGAGTTACAAAATCGTCCCCAACCATAAAACCATATATCCGGCGTCACTTAACTAATCAAAACCGTTCACAATAGATCCTTCGGTGGTTTTGACCTCGGTTTCGTCCTACGTTGCAGCTGAGTTAGCGTGGGACCCACGTGGGCCCCACATTTTAGGTTGCCACGTCATCTCTCTCCCTTCGGTGTACTTTTTCCCTTCACGGGAGGAGTCAATGGGTGGGCCCCACTTCCCTTTTCTTTTCTTCTCTTCACCGCTTTCTCTCTCTCTGCCTTATCTCTTTTCTGCCCTTTTTTTCCTCACGCGCGCGCAGCGGAGGGAGGGTGCCGGCGATGCAGGTGATGGCCGGCGGCGGTGGGGAAGAAGGGGCTGGCAGCATGGAAGGGGAGAGCTTGGCGGCAGGGAGAGGGAGCCTGGTGGCGGCGCAGTTGCGTGCGGGAGGAGAGAGGCTGTGCGGCGTGGAGCTCGGTAGCGCGCGGCCAGGAGGCGGCACAAAGGGGAGGAATCGGGGCGGCACCGGGCGGAGGAGGGAGTGGAGCCGGGAGAAGAAGGTCAGGACGCCGATTGGAGGGGGCGGCCAGCGGCGGCGTCGGCTCCGCTTGGGCGATGGCCGGGCGCATCGGCGCAGCGCGATGGTTGGAGCCGGGGGGAAAGGGGTGGCTACACGGCAGCGCCCGTCTAGGCGCGATGACGGCTTGGGGGTGGATGAAGACAACGATGATGGTGGCTTCAGTGGCGGAGGCGGAGGTGGTTGCGGAGGCGGCGCCCTTGCGGCTCGGTCGTGCGCAGGGGCTGCGTCGGCACCCTGGCATGCGGCCCGTGCTCAGCACATCATCCTCCTCGTCACCATTCTCCATGCTCATCCACGCATCGGCTTCGCGTGTGCGACACCGCCTCCTTCTCCTGCCTCCCGGGTCTCTCTGACCCCGAGCTCCCTCCCTTCTCCCCTGTTGTCACCCCCGCTGCTGCCGCTGCGGCGACGCCGCCCTCCTCCTCTCCCGCCTTGCCCCGGGGACCTCCTCCTCGCCCGCCAGCCGCCCTGCAGCGAGGAGAAAAGAGAGAGAGAGAGGGAGAGATATGACGTGGTAGCCTGACATATGGAGCCCACGTGGGTCCTATGCTAACTCAGATGTCACGTAGGACAAAACTGGGTCAAAACCACCTAAGAACCTATCATGACCGGTTTTGATTAGTTAAGGGACGCCGGATATCTGGTTTTACGGTTGGGGGAACCTTCGGCGTACTTTTTCCGCTAAGATTTTAGCTGAAAATTCTAGCCCGTATAGGTGGATGGATAGAAATCGAGGCCCATCAAGACGTGGCCTGAAAGCGCTAAACCTCCTCTTCTTCTCTTGTTCTGTACTTCTGTCTTGCACTCTTTGCCCCTGTTTCAATTGCGGCCCCTTTCCCAGCGATTGGCCAGGAGGCAGGAGCACGTCTCCTTGTTGTCTGGCAATGTTCATGTGGGGTGCCCATGGTCGCATACAAGAAAAACAAAATCCACCCACAAGGCCACGACCCAGCCGGCAGCCGCAGGTCTAATTTTCAGGATGCGGAAACGCAGTGTGCCAGCGAGCACAGCCGTGAGCCGTGCGGTGCTCCACTCCCCGCGCCCGCGCCCCCTCGGCGCGTTGCATCGTTGAAGGAGCGATCGGGCATGGCCACGGGCCACGGCACGCCGGGGCGGTGCACGGCGGCGGCTGTGAACTGTACTGTACACACTACACAGTTTTCACCCTTACAGGCTTACGGCTGCTCCTTTCCAGAAGGCGGAAAGAAAACCATTGGCTTGTTCTTCTGGTTGGCTTTTGTTGACTGTGCAACTAGCTAGTACACACTCTACAGCAGAGGTTCACAACAGCTTTGGTTGCTACGCGTAAAATAGGGCTGACTAGCTGATCGAGATCGACTAGGTGGTGTTTTGAAACTTAAAGATCTTTACAGAGATTGCAAATAATTAATTTAATTTAATTATCATAAGCTTGACGAACGAGTACATTCGATTTTAAAACAACTTATATAAAAAAAATTTCGCACAAAATGTATTTTAAAAAAGCGAAATAAAATGTTTTAGCACAAAATGTATTAAGAAAAAGCAAAATAAAATCTGAGTCTTAATCATAACAGGGTCACATGTGCTACTAGTACACAGTTGCACACTGGACTCACTCCTTCTAGATGGCAACCTTGTACTCCTAACAAGGACCGGTTGCTTGGTGGCGTGCTATAAAAAATGGCGAGTTATTTGCTCGATCTTCTTGTTTGCTCTGTCCTGCACTCCTGCTAGTGTGCTCACCACTTGTTGAAGACCGCATGCCCCCGCTGACCAGCAGCCATCCATGCCACCATGCTTACATCGGAGAGCAGATAAGGTCAAAGGCTCCGGGCGATCATGACATGGGGATGGGATTAATATATGCAACCAACAATGCTTTATTCGGAATTCCTGATGCCGTTTTGGATAGTAATAGCATAACGATGATGCTACAAACGCAATTACGTACGTACCTCAATAGAAAACATGGTAATGATGCTCCCTCTTCAATCATCAGCAATTCAGCATTGAGTTCCAACAGCCTGCGCCGACGTACGGTACCAACGTGAAAACGTGTTATTAATGCATGCATTTCATCTCCACGGACGCCAAAAGACCAGTACTTACGTCGCAAAATATAAAAGATTATGGATGAACATGACATACACTGTAATACGAATCTGAATCGTTTAGATTAGTAGAATTAGGATGCATCAGATTCACCCAAAATCTCTTATACTCCTTTGGTTTCTTCGTCTCATTTTAAGTATAGTTATGGATTTTCGTGTCTAACGTTTGATTATCCATTTTATGTGAAAAATTTATAAAAAAATTAAAAAAAAGTCGCATAAAGTACTGTTCATGTTTTATCATCTAATCATAAAAATACTAATCATAATAAATTTTAAATAATATAAATGGTCAAACATTGAACATGAAAATCTACACTTAAAATGAGACGGAGGGAGTATTTTGGTAGGGAGGGAGTAATTGTTAAGGAAGATTCGGATTCTTCCTTCTACCTGGTGGGGCATGCGCCTCATATTCATGGTACTCCTATAGTCCTATGTGGCAATTGATTCTCTGTTATCCTTTCAACATCCCAGCCGTGGACCGTCGACCAGGCGTAATGGAACCTGCATAGATGCAGTTAGCAGTCCGTTTCACGAATCATAGAATTCTGCCAGTCCAATCGCAGGACACCGCAAACGACTGAATATGGCACGCTCTAGCCCACCAGGTCAGAACTGAACTGAATTACTAAATGTCTTGATCAAACCAGGGGGAGAATAAACAAACGGAATTTCTTCACCTTTTGTAAAATAAAAATATATACAACATAGGTTTAGAAAGAAGGGAAAAAGTCGTCATCACCCATAGAGCATCATAGCAATAATCTATCTCAAAATTTGATTTTTGGGTTTTCTAACCTAAAAATAAAAATAGAAAGTGAAAAAACTCTTCCCCTACAAGAGATAGTCTATAAAACTAAAAGTGGGATCTTCTGTTAAACTACCAACATAAATTTCTTTTTTTTCCATGCGTACAATGAGAGATCGCGCTCCCAACAGAAATTTGCCCATTCGCACGGAAAGGAGAGAAACGAGCAAACTAGAGATTGTGATTCGCTCTTTCGCCCTCAAATCCACATAGAGAAATATATGGGGATGGGAACTTCAAAACTAGTGAAGAGAAGAGCTTCTGGCGATTGGTTGGATCTGATTTTTTCACTAAAAACCTCCAAAATTGGTTTTGGGAAGGAAATAGTACGTCTGTTGGTGATGCTCACTATCAACCACAGAGCAGACACGGGCTCACACAAGTCGGCCCATCAGCAGCCCAAAAACCACCCCGCCCGTCACACTTGACCTCCTCCTCCTCTCCTCCTGCGGGCGCCGGGGCGCCGTGCGGTGTGACGGCATTGGTGGCGCGGTGTGCGTCGCGGCACACAGCCGCACAGGCGCACAGCCAGGCAGCCAGCCCGTCGGTCTCCTCTCCTCTCCCCCTCGCGTTTTTTCTTTTCGCCTCCATCTTTGAACCTTCTCCTCGCCTTCTTCTTCCTCCTCCTCCCTCCGCTCCGCTTCTCTCTGACCAATAATCTGGGCAAACCCCTCTCTCGCGCCTTCTCCCTCCCACCTCTATAAATCCCCCTCCATTCCAATCCCACGGGCTCAGGCCGCGCCACCAGCAGCAGCACACAGGGCGCGCCAGCTTTAGCGAGAGGGAGAGAGGGGGATTTTGGGCGGGGGAGCGATCGATGGCGAAGCTGTACGTGCAGGCGGTGCAGCCGGCGGATCTGAACAAGAACACGGAGTGGTTCATGTACCCCGGGGTGTGGACGACCTACATCCTCATCCTCTTCTTCTCCTGGCTGCTCGTCCTCTCCGTCTTCGGCTGCACCCCCGGCATGGCGTGGACGTTCGTCAACCTCGCCCACTTCGCGGTAAGGACCCCTCCTTCTCGCTTCTCCCTGGAATTCGGATTAGGATCGAGGGCCAGCGTTCTTGGCAAGTTTAGCTCGCTCGCTCGTTCGTATCATCAGGTTTGGAATTGGGGTGGATTCGGGATGCTTGCATCTGGATGTTGCTGGCTGCCTGCGTATTGTTTTGCCTAGCTAAAAGTGGGAGTATTCCCAACAAAAAGCTGGTGTGGGTTGGCATTGACATCCTGCTTGACGCAGTTACTCGCATTCCAACTAGAACTATCTATGGATTTTGCTGAATAGAATTCCCTACACCAGCCTCAAGCCTCAGTTGGTCCAGAACGAAATTTTTTCTTGTTCTCAGTATGCAGACATATGGTAGTATCAGTAATGATGGCCCCTGCCTATTGCCATTTATCCATTAGAAGGTAGAAACAGTTGCATGGCCTTGTTTAGTCTTAGTCTGATTCTGAGTATGGTCATAATAGTGGTGGTGTGTAGTTTACTGCATAATAATTGATAAATGATGGAAATGCTATTTTGATCCTCTATATTGGTGTGCATTTCTGAATAGTGAACATGCTTTATTCAGTAATCGCATAGTTTGCAGTTCATCCGTAGTGATACATGCAAATGGTATGGACTAGCTCCTTGTCATGTGTAACTATATAAGTAATATATGCTGGGGTAGCAGTGTTAAAATTTATATCATAGCGTGCGGTGAACATCTCGAAATTTTTGTGTTGTACTTGTACTGCAATATGATGTGCATTTCGTTTCACATAACATTGTAGCTGGCATTTCTTTTAATATATGAGCATTACCCAATGCCAAATTATAACACACACTTTGCTGAAGGTTTCTATAGTAGGATTTACTTGTACTGTAGTGGAAGATTCCTGGACTATCTATGTTTTTTTAGGATGCAGTAGCAATATATTTTCATAAAACAATGGACATAGTTACATAAACTTCCACCTTTCAGTTAAAAGGCGTTAAACCGAAACCTCGCTTAGATATTTAAGATCCGAGTGGTGATAGTTTAGTTGAGTTTGCTCTGATGGCTACTGTATAGTTGTGACTTGACATAGTGAGAACAGAGAAAACTGCATTGGATTCAATTGTAGAAGAAAGATTTTCCTCCCTATTGCCACTGCCTACTAACTGAATTTTAATTGCAGATGACATACCATTTTTTTCACTGGAAGAAGGGAACTCCGTTTGCTGATGACCAGGGGATGTATAATAGATTGACTTGGTGGGAGCAAATGGACAATGGGAAGCAGCTTACTCGCAACAGAAAATTTCTGACCGTGGTTCCTTTGGTCCTGTAAGAATAAATCTGTTGCGATTGATTTTCCTTTTCACTACAGCATTGAAAATATGGATGATGATTGATTCTACATAGCCAGTAAGTAGTAACTAGTAAATGGTTTCAGACTTTCAGTAGGTATGCAAGGAATTAACATATAGCTCTGATGTTTGTTACCGGCATAGTCACAGACTCACAGTAGATATACATTTGTAAGGATTGGTAAGAAGGTTTGCATCCAAGTTCAAGTTCATATCCAAGTTACGTTGCCATCTTTTAGCCCCAAATCCAAGTTCCATTAGGGAAGAAAGTTCATATCTGTATCTAGGCAGATTGTTAAGGCACACGATTATTCTCTTTGATAATAATGCTTCAATTAGATTTTATTTTCGAGTGGATTGGCTGGATGAACTATGGTGGTTACTCGTTATGAATTACAGTAGACATTAGAGTATTAGACAATTCAAGGCTCGCTATGGTAAAGAGTATTTGTTCAGAAAGCTAGGTTGCACTACTTAGTAGTTGATTAATTTGAAGCACACACAAACGATAACTTTTGGACTTGGAAGAAGAACATCATGTTCTTTTCCATAACTACAGAAATTGGTTTCTAGCTGTATTTCATAAACACTATAATCTGGGATAACATGCACAATATATCTCCATTTTCATCACCCGAGTACCTTCAGAGCCATGCAGTTGTACATTGTTTGTTTATATTTGATTGGGTTTGGGTTTTGCCCTGTATCCACTGATGTTTCCACATATGATAGGTTATTATTTCAGGACAACTAAATACAGATAGACCATTCCATGCAAATTCTATATTTTGTGTTGCCTCACTTTTCCTTCTATCTCAACTTCTGCACAAGTATTAATTACTACATCATGTTGTTCCATGTACCTCTTTCCTATTATGAACAAGCATTATAGGTTGTACCTGCTTAGAAAAATATTAAAATGAGACTACAAAGTTAGTTTTACTTAGTTTTTTTCTCTGAAAATATTGGACGAGCATTATCACTCTCTATAGTTAGTGTAGCATCTGGTTGTTCAACTTGTTTTTTCTTTTCTTGTGTTTTGTTTAAAGTGCTTCTAATGGTTGGTATTTTGGGGGAATATTTGTCTATATTGTGCTTGTAATGGCTGCCATTTGGGGGGGAACATTCAGATTAGTTTGCTCCAAAATTAGTTTCACTTAGGAATTTTCTCTAAAGATATTGTCACTCTACTGTAGGATAACATGGCAAGTATCTTACTTTTGCTTAACTTGCCAGACGTGTCAAATAGTTTTGTGAAGCTTTTATATCACGTAGACTTACACTCAGGAATCATTTTTCTTTCTCATACCTCTTGACAGGATGGCAATTTCCCTCTCCCTTTATTGACTACTTTTATTTACCATTATGATCTCCAGCATTAATTATGAGGATGCTTTCTCTTTTCTTCTGCAGATACTTGATAGCCTTGCACACGACAGATTATCAACATCCTATGCTCTTCCTCAACACCATTGCAGTTGTTGTGCTGGTTGTTGCAAAACTACCGAACATGCACAAGGTCCGGATCTTTGGAATCAATGCTGGCAACTAGGCGGCAGCATCCCACGGTTTGTTATCACTACCATGCTTCATTTGAGTGGCAGGAAACAGTATACCTAGTTCTGAATGGATAACCAGAGTGAGTAGTTTTTAAGAGCTGTTAGTAGATGACATGTAATCATTGTACAGAGCTAAAGGCATGGAAATGATGTTGTTCAGCATCTAGTGAACACACTTCTTTAGGCTCTTATCCCACCAAAAAGAAACTTTATTTTGCTGTTAATGTTGTTATATATGTGCTCTTGTTCAAGTGTATGTCACATGTGTGTCTTATGGAGAATAATTTTTTGTGTACGTAATGTGAGGCAGGAAAGACAATATGCCTACTCATATCGCTATATCTCGGGGAATAATGAGTAACACTGCAAACTAGATTTGGTAATACTCAGCTTTAGACAGTCAGACTCGAAGGTTAAAATTCTAGGCCTGGTAGCTGTTTAACTTGGGGTAAGGAACCTGGGTTAAGGATCCGTCGAACCAAGCTGTTGGATGAAGACATCACAACTTGATATGTCGATGCTGTCTTAAGGAAGATTTGACATGCTTGAGGGGCTAGTTGGCCTGTCAACTTTGCACTTCAGTTTCAGTGTCGGTAAATGTTTTCACTTATGCTCTGTTGTTGCTGATGCGGTTACAGTGAGTGCCATGGCCAATCGGCAGGTGTTAATACCTTTGTTAGCCTCCCAGTAAATGTTACTACTGTTTTTTCTCATCAACCCAATAACTTTTAGTAGCACTACTCTGACGAACGCTGCACCACGACTGGTAGAGTGGTAGTACGACTGGTAGAGTGGTAGTGGGGTGTGTTCTGAAATCTAAACCTCGAAAGCTAACTTGAGATAGGTTACATAGCTGGAGGAGAAGTCGTAGACATCAGCTCGCGTACGAAAGGACTGCGGTTTGGTTGGCCGTTTCTGGTGCTTGGAAAAGCTGGGCCGAAAAATGCAACAAAATCTCTCCATTTGAACTCAAATGCTTGTCACACATGGCATGCAGGTCCACTCCCTGTTACTATCGCACTATCAGTATCGTTCCAATCTTCAAGACGAAGCAAAGCGGCGAGGCGAGTACTCCGACGACTGTTGCACCTGTTACCAACAATAATTTTCTAGTAGTCCTCGACCCTGATTTAGGGCCCAGATTTCACTGTTTCAGCAATGCAACTTTAGCTTTGTTCCGTTCTGAGCTGAACCGTTCACCAAGCAACCTATCAGCGGCAACTTCTGCCTGCCTCAAACCAAGATATGGTTGGCTCGCAAAGGGACAGATGGAACTACCAATGTTCAGGGAATTGTGGTAGGCGTGACCCAACGACTTAGTATCATTGAGTCGGGTTACATGTTGTGTGCGAGTATATATACAGTTCGTCCGGTCTGAAACTCATGGGCTAGCAAGCGAGAAGTTACGTTCTAACGTTCCACCGTAACTCTTGCAGTTGCGCTGAGTTGCAGATCATGGATTCATGGCAGCAAGGACAGTTTTCAGAGAGTTGGCTACATGAATCTCAATACATGATGCGTTTCAGTTTCAGAATTGCCTTTTGGATCATGGTCGATCATGTCACACTGTGGCCACCACCGTACGAGCAGTGCGTGCCCAGGGGTGACTGCCTGCCGACCGGGGTGAATGGACGGCTTTTTTGGGATCGGATCCTCCCAGAGATTGCGGTGATATGCTCGAGCACTTGAGCGCAGCTGAGCATACCGCACATATGCATGGATATGTGATGTGCGGTATGGATATGAAGGGGAGATGCGAGTTGCAAATGTAACCTGATGTGTGACCTTCTGGGTGCTTTTTTTTTAAACTAATTAAACCAGCAAGAGTACTGTTAATTATATTTTCAATAAGCAGGAGTAAAAAAAAAACCTAGACAGGTTAAAAAAGGAAAAAAACCACCAACTAACTAAACATCTACATAACATAGAAACAAAACCACTAACAACTGAAACCACTGACGAAACTCAATATAGGGTGTCGTTACCAAGCTTAACAAAAAAAAAGCATAGGAGGTTCCTACTTTGCAAACACGTATCATCGTTGCCAAACGACACAGCAGCGCCGACTTCACAGTGGATGCATCACGAATACCTAGCTCGCTGCTAGAATTATCAAGCGGCTTCAACATCCCACAATGGACGTCAGCCAACACCACCTAAGGTGCTTTTTCACCTGAAAGAATTTGTTTATGTGTGATGTTTTGAGTATGCTTCCCCAAACCAAGAGCATTCACGATGCATGATGGGCGCAACCGGTGGGTCCAACATTCACACAGTTAAAAAGCAACATAAGTAATTGTGCTTATAATGTTAGTATAACCTAGACAGCTAGGGAGATCTGCATAACTTTTATTTTTCATCCTTGGGTGAATAGCTAATTTAGTCCCTCAAGTTTGACCAAAGGCTCAATTTGGTCCTTCAGGTTTTATTTTGTCTACATAGGTCCTATAAGTATTTGTTTTGGCCTAAAATCATCCTTTGGCCCACTTAATATGCCATATGGCTATTTTTACTCAACAATTATGTTAGAAAATGTCCCTTTTGCCCTTAATTTGTATACAACTATACACTAGAAAAAAGAAATCCAAAATAAATAAACAACATTGCATATGTATTTCACATTATTTCAACATGTGCACATAAAAATTGAGCCTAATGGCTATCGTATATACTTGAAAGTACATAATTTATTTTTATTTTATCTATAAAAAGAATTCATTGCATGCAATTTTTTCTCTTATATATGTGAATGAGGGGGTATAAGTGTCATTTATCAAAAGAGTTGTTGGTTATGTGTGTTCAAGGATAAGTTTGATTAAAATAAAAACTTGAAGGACTAATATGGACACATTAAAATATTAAGGACTAAACTGATCCTTGCATGAAACTTGGAGGACCATTTTACCTATTCACCCTTCATCCTTTGTTTATTTATGCTTCCGCCCTTAAGTTGATTTTATTTATACTTTTGTCCAAAATTATGTAGCTACCACTTCAAATTAAATAAACAAATCAAAAACAACTTCAAAAATAAGAACCTTTACCTCCTCATTTCCCCATCAATTCTCCATCTCCCCTCAGCCCATTGGTGCCGACCTTACTAGACCCATCTGTGCCGCCTCTCAGACCGACACAACCTCTCCACTTTCCAAGGCGGTGGATTGGACCGACAATGACTAATGGTTGAGCTTAGCCGTGGTGTGTGTTCACCATATTCGACTGCAAGCTGACCTGATGTGGCTAATTGCTCATGCCGTTGCTCTCTCGTGTAGTCCTGGTAGATGTGGTCGTCTTTCTTGTGATGGTTCCTATGTGGCTACGAGATAGTTTTTCCAGATGTACGGCAACACATCATCTTCTGAGTCAACACAACTTTGATTGACAAGCTCGACGGTCTCAACCTACGGTAAAAAGAAGACAGGTTGTTTCCTTCTCTCCTGTATTTCTATGGAACTCTTTTTATCGCCCAAGCCACCTATGTTTTAAGCAATGCACTATGATAACACATGGCCACTCTTTTTCCTCACTCTCTCCTCCATGGTGAAGATGCTCCCGTGGATGGTCGAGGCCACTTGCTATGGTGGTGCGTATGTCAGTCTGATTGAGATAGCAAATGTATGCAACGGAAACCATTATTATAGTCTCCATATATTTTTTTTATAAACCTATACCTGGAACTCTTCATCTTCATTAACTCGTCTTCCGAATATGTTATCATTAATTGTAATTTGATTGCTAGTATCTAATGTCCTCTGTCTCAAAATAAATGTGAATTTATACATGAAATCTGAATATATTCATAAAAAGAAGGTCTTATTTTTAGAGGAAAAGATGTTGACTATGGATCGTACATGGAGTACGTGCGAGCTAGCCGCCGGCCCCATGATCGGTGTTGTTTTGTGGCCAAACACTTGCGGATGGCGCCACATGCCGGGCGGCCGGCTACCTATACCTATAGCTTAGCCTTTCCGGCTTTCCCATCGCGTGAAAGCCCTTCAATTCATAAAGCTGCGGCGAGACGGGACATGCAGAGAAGTAAAGAGAACGTGGCATCGATTCCCCCTGGCTCTATCTTTTTCTCCGAGGAAGTTTTTAGATTCCGCCCTGCTGCTGATCCGTACCTCTTCTTCTCGTAGGAGTAGCTAGGCAGCACTAGGAACACAGGCTGCAGGCAATGTTTGTACTACTACACGGCGAGTCACGAGCTGAGAGCCTGAGACACAACTATACGTAGAACACATGACATGCCCCAGTTTTCTGTGGTACTGGAGTACTCCGTAGCAACAGCAAGGTGTAGTATGCAGAAGACATACGTTCATGCGCGCGGTACTGTTCGAGTCGTCGCCATCGAGGAAAAAGAAGGAATTAATCTGAGTAGCACAGAGCGTAATTAGGGGCTGTTCGGGAAACATAGATTTATTCCAAGTCTCTATCACATCGGATGTCTAAACATTAATTTGAAGTAATAAACATAGACTAATTACAAAACCTATTCTATAACCTTGGACTAATTCACGAGACGAATCTTTTGAGCCTAATTACGCCATGATTTGATAATGTGATGCTACAATAAACTTTTGATAATTATAGATTAATTAGGTTTAAAAAATTCGTCTCGCGGATTAGCTCTCATTTATGAAATTAGTTTTTTTATTAGTTTATATTTAATACTCTAAATTAGCATCCAAACATAATTTTAGCCCCATCTAAACAGCCCCTAAGCGTGGTACTCGACCAACCCATCACGCACGTATAACGCGGGAATGCCTAACCTTTGAAGTGAGAGTGTGAGACCTCTCGATCGCGCGCTCCCCATCCGCGAATGGATGGATCAAATGGCCGGCCGGGTGACGATGCAACAGTAGATCGAGCTAGCGCCGCACGCACGGGCAGGATGGCGAGTTTTGACGTGACGCTGACGCCGCGCGCACAGGCTCTTGCAGGCAGCGACGCGCGCGTCGTTGCTTTGCCTTTGCCCCGGCCCGCGCCGCGCGCACGCACGCGAATCGAAAACCAAACTGTGGCTGCATGATACCGTTCCATGCATTGTGCGGTGCGGTGCTGCTGCGTTGCCCGTTGGTCGACGTACGCTTGTTGCAACGAAAAAAAAAAAAGGTCCAATCTGACTGGCTAAAATTTCTAGTACTACTAGTTTCTTGCGTTTCACCCCAACCCCACTTTGATCAGCTCGATCAGTTCGTGTTGACCTGTTTGCTTGACAAAGATGTTTGTTCCTCCTCCTGTTATTTTTGACCTTTCTGAAGACGCCCGCAAGAAGGGCATGCACCTTTTTCATTTTCTGTCGGGATGGAGTTGTCTCGCGATCATGTGCAATTTCCGCAAAAGTGCAGTAAAATTCCTGCATTTTTATATGGGGCCTGCCGAAAAAAAATTCTCCTTCAGACGTCTTAATTTGTTAAGAACAACATACTAGTACATTTTATAAGCATTTAATCTATCTATATACTTGTATTACTTGAGCACTCTAGGAAAGCTTTACTAATTGTAGATCTTATTAAGAATTCGTCTTAAATAAATTGTGCATTTAGAAACAGTACATGTACTCCCTCCGTACTGTAAAAAACAACATAATACTGAATGCGGCACATCCTAATACTACGAATCTGAACATACATATGTTCAGATTTATTGTACTGGAATATGTCACATCAAATTTTAGATTCGTTTTTTTAGGACGGAGTGAATACTATTTAATTTTTACTACCACAAATTCTTTTGTTTTATTAAAAAAGGGATAGCATTCCTAACTTTGGAATACATAAATATGAATTTGTACCCATCCTAGACTCTTAATTAAATATTTTATTAGTTTAAATTTCAAACTCGGACCAACAATTAGCTAGTTGTACAGCATGAATATTTTTTATTATAGTCGCTATAAATCATAAAATAACCAATATAGCCCATATATCAATTAAATTTAATATTTTTAATATCAATAAAAACAACAGCATGTGGGTATTGTTGGCTAATAGTACTCTTAATTAAAACAGTAAATTAAAAAAACACATACATAAGTGAAACTAGCAGAAAACTACACATTTAAGCCATCTTATCATAAAACTAAAGATTTAACATCGAGTTCATCACAAAACTATGGATTTAGGCGACAATGTCTAAAATTTACACTTAGCATTGAGTTTATCGAAAACTATACATTTTAAAAGTTTCATCAGGTAAAGGTGCTCGTTTGGAATCACTACATCTATAATTTGGTGATAAATGATGTACTGAATAGGTAATTTTTATATAACAGCTTAATTCTGCGTTTTTTGGGGCAAATTCAATTTTAAATGTATAGTTCTAAAATATTATGTCTAGATATGTAGTTTTGTGATAATAATGTATGTAGTTTTGTAGAATTTATTGTAATTAAAAAAACACATTGTATATAGATAGATTAGATGCATGGTACATACATGTAGGTCATGGAAAATGGATAGTACATATATAATATACTTCCTCCATCCACAAAAGTTACACATATTACTTTTGTCACCAAGACCAAGAAGACATTAAATCATCTTGCATCCTATAAAATCAAGAAGTGAATGTAAGCATGCAACTAATGAGTATTTAGATGACTCCGTGAGTTCCAATTAAACATTCAATTTATCTCTTCATTTAAGTCTACTCTTGGATGCATAAAGACTACAAATAGGAACAACTTACTTGGAAAAACTCAAATGTGAAATATATCTAACTTTTATGGATGGAGGGAGTAGTATATTGTACTACAACATTTTTTTCTACAACTTTGCCAAGTAAGACGATGAATAAATCTACTTACAAACTTCTACCATGTATGTAAAACACAGATCATTTCAATATTTAGAACATAATTAGAGTATTTGTGCAGATAATGTAATGGTAGTGGTAGCTGCACTTTCTGCAGCACTATGCAATGGTTAAATTTGTGCATGTGCATTTTGCATCCAAACGGCAACCACTATGCTACCAGAAAATACTACTGCAGTGCTATAGCAACTTACCTCAGGGATCAAGATCACTATCGTGCAAGCCAACCATTTCAAGAACTCTCATTCTTCCACAACCAGAAAGTGCTGACAGGCAGACGTAACATAGATCACCTCAGTGGATGGATGGAAGTAGTATGCTTTGTGAAAGAGCATCCAAAAAGAAAAGTGAGATGAAAACCAAGAGAAGAACTAGTGCAGCAATGAACTAGTGCAGCAAGCTGAAAGTTTAGGTAGTGGTTGCTATAAAGCAACAAGAAAGGCCAGGCCTTGGACATCCCCAACTATATCCATGCATATGAGGCATTTATATGTGAAAGATATATACAGAAAGGAGGCCATTGCACCACTGTTTATAGATGCTAGGCTAGTTCTCCATGCAACTAGAGTGGCATTAATAATGCATGCCCAAAACGGCATGAGTGTGAGTCAAGGACAACGTGCAGACAAAGTGGAGACCATAGCACAAAAGTACAGAAGAAAACAAGGTGGAGGGAGAAATGTGATAGTAGTTACAATATCTAAACAAACAGCATGAGCAGAAGACTTGTCAAAACTACACTGCTACTACCAGTATTTAATAGCCTCAAAGTTTAGATCAACACACACACATATACTATATACTAATATGTACTCCTACCTGCCTGGTGATCCAATCCATTAATTTAGTTAAGGAATAAAGCAGAACATCCCTTCAAGTTTGTCACTTTATTATGATGGTTGAAGCAATGATGTGAATCATGGGAACAAGAGCAGTATTATCCTCCCAAAAGCACATCTTAGAGCAAGTTTAATAGTAGAGCTTACTATTAGCTATTAGCCCATCTTAAAACTAACATATATATATATATATATATATATATAATATTAGCCATAAGGTTATCTTTATTTTTTTTCTTCTCCTCTCTCTTTCCGTCACATATACATTTAATGTATTTGTTTAGAAGTATGTCTTGAACTAGCTTTTGCATGGGAACCAATATACTCTAGTTTTTGTTAAATCTTTTCTCCACGTAAGTTTATAGTTAGCTTATAGCTCACCATTAACGTTGATATGCTACTATCAAGAAGCTAACAGTGGTTCTAATTCCTTTGTCATTTAGTAGTTGCACAGAGCCAAATGCAGCACATCATCATCCTCCCCCCTGGAGCAAATTAAAATCTGGGCAGTGGGTCGTTTGTTTAATAGGGTGGCCAATGCTTCAAGAATGCGGTGAATGTTATTATTCCTCACGCCCCTCATCCCTAGGAGAATGTTTTTTTGTGGGCCCCTCCATGCAACTCCTCTCCAGGGGAAGGATCATACCACATGGTGGTGATGAGGTTGTGTGTGTGTCATTGTATGAGTACTTCTACATTGAGAAGAATCATTGTGGGACAACTTTTTGGTGATCAAGAGCTGGTGTGTGCCATTCAGCCATTGTATAGTACTCCATTAACAAGATAAACACAGAGACCATGGCACAGAACAGGAGAAAGAATCATTGGGTAACAACTTTTTGGTGTGGGCAGGTGAAACTGGGCAAGTAAAAAAGTTGCATTTCTTACCCACTTGACATGAAAGGAAGAGGGACATCCCAGAGATCAGTGAGATGCAAGAAGCATGACGGTGAAGAGAGAGGGTAGCATTTGTACCTTTTTAGTTTACAAAAACAATAAAAGGTGGTACAAATGGCATGCTGGCCAAACATATGATATAATAATATACCATGTGATGAGAGAGAGAGACTTGAGTATGAGAGAGAGGAGACTGTGTGTGCCTGTGGGTAAAGTTTCTTTAGAGAGTGGGGTGTTTGTCATACATACATATTCCCTTCCTCCATGGCTTCTCTAGCTCCTCTCCTCTCTCCCTCTCTCGCTAGTGCTTTTCATGGCTGGAAGATTCCGGTTTTGGGACGATGGTGAGACATGACATCTCAGAGCTAGCCTGCTACAAGAAAAAGGAACGCACAGAGAGATGACAGACAGAAAGACAAGCTTATATAAAAAGTACAGAAACAAGGAGCAAAAAGATGTGCATTATAGTTTGGCTGTAAATATAACAATAAGATAGTAGGAGTACTATACAAATTAAATTACATGCGCTCAAAAACCCCTTTTGCAACTACTACTACTATAACTTTATATGACCTCTACACATCCCATAGAAGTTAACAACAATAACAAGTTAAGCTAGAAAAGGATGGAATCACTACTGTTTGGATCAACACAAAGTCATAGATCAGCTGCAAACCCTTCCCAAGATCTACATCTACAACCAAAAGCTTGATGCATTGCCGTTACCAAACATACTGTAGCTAAGTTTGACATACATGCATGGTGATGGGGGTCCATTTTTCTTTCTTCCTCCCCAACCGAGTCCTTCCCTTCATCCTTCGCTTCACAATGCCCCTGCAAAACCAATGAGCTACACACCACATGCATGCCTGTGTACCACGTACGTACACGCCATCGGACTCGAAGCCAGCCTAAAAAGAAGCTTCCCATGCTCTACTAGTCTAGTACTGCACTGACGCATGCAGCTCTCTAACCACACATCGATCAAGCGATGACTAGTAGTAACAGTGATCAATGGAGAGAACTGGAAGATCAGAATTCAGAAAGAGATCGATCATGCATCATGATCCTTTTGAGGAATCATGTGAGCTCGGTTGTTGTGTTGAGCACCAAAGCCGATCAACAATCACATGAAAGACAGCAAAAGGGAGAAGAAAGAACACCAAGATGATGATGCAACACCGGGAAAGAAGAAGAAGAGAGATCAAAACACCTTATACGGAGTAACAGTGAATCAGTGATGGATTATCGCCAATGCCAACCTCTTATTAAAACCCTCGTCGTCTCTACTGCCTATCTCCAATTTGAACCCACGCCACCACAGCGCGGAGGCTTTTGCATGAGCCATGCATGCATGCATGGCCGCCGCCGCCGCATTACCAAGAAGTGCCACTGCCGCCGCCGATCATGCCGTTCCAGAACCCCGGCGTGTCGTGCCCGCCTGGGCCGCCGCCTCCGCCACCGGCCTGCTGCTCCTTGCCGTGATCAAACTGATGGCCGCCGTCTACGCCGGCGCCGCCGCCGCTTGCGCCTCCACCGCCAGTGCCAGAGCTGACCGTCGGCTTCAAGTCCTCGAACGGGAACAGCAACCTGCCCGTGCTCTCCGGCACGCCTTGCAACCCCGCGCTGGAGCCGAACCCCGCGGCGGATGGCCCGCCCACCGAGCCGTGCGCGTCCAACGAGAACCCGAGCAAGCTCTGGGACGACTGTGGCGGCGGCGGCGGCGCGCGGAACTCACCGAGCGCGAACCCCGGCGTGGCGTACTCCGCTGGCATCTGCATCGGCACCTGCAGCGGCATGTAGCAGCCGGTGCTTCGGAGCAGCTCCATCGCGGAGAGCGCGCCGCCGCCCCGGCCGTTGGTCCCCATTGGGCCACCGGGGTTGCACACGCTGCTGCTCTCCAGGCTCGGGAACGCCGGGAACTCCCCCGGCGCCTGCAGCCCGCCGTGGTGCGGGAACGCCAGGTTCAAGTCCTGCGCGCCCTCGTGGACCAGCTTCGGGTTCTTGGACGCCCCGCCGCCCGTGCTGGCCATGGACATGGACATGGACGCGCTCGTGACGACGGAATTCGCCGTGGAGGCGGACGCGGGCGACGCCGATGCCGCCGACGACGACGAGCGCTTGTTCTTGCGCGAGCCGCCGCCGACGGGGACGTTGCGGAGCGAGCCGCCCTCCGTCCAGTAGCGCCGGCACGTCTTGCAGAAGTAGCGCGGCTGCTGGAGGCTGTAGTTGTTGTAGTAGCAGAACTTGGTGTTCGTCGAGTTGCACCGCGGGCAGTTGAGCGCCTTCTCCTTCTGCGGCCGCGCCCGCCGCTCCGTGCTACCCGCCCCCGCGCCACCTGCCACCGGCGGCGCGCCGCCGCCGCCGCCGCCCCTCAGTGCGCCCCCAGTCACCGACGACGGCGCCGTCGCCGCCGGATTCGGATTCGCGCCGGCGGCCGCGTTCGCTGCCATCAGCATCTCCTCCATGGGCTTCACCAGCCCTAGCCCCTGATGGTACACACATGGTGCAGCACTCCATTAGAACACAAACGATCAAAGATCAAACAAACACCTTGCTAACTTCACACCAACTACTACTACAGCAACAAGCTCGCAAGAACAAGCGAGCACAAATGGCATGTGGTTATGCAGTGACAGAGAGAGAGCTAGCCATGGCAGCAAGCAGGGTGTTTAGAATCTTTATGGTGCAACTAAGAACCAAGCAAAAGGATACAAAGGCAGATTAGAGGGGGGAGGAAAGGTGAAACTGGTAAAGGGGGGAGAGGAAAGGAAAAGGTGATAAGCGAAAGGAAGGAAAGAAAAGATGAAAGAGAAACACACCACCACACAAAACACAACTTTGTTTGTGCTGTTGTAGGGTTGCGCGCAGTAGTAGTACCACAGCTGCTCCTGCTGCTGCTGCTACTACACATCACCGGGGACATGGCTACTCTTTTGATGCAAGCGGCAAGGAGACAGAAGAAAAGAAGGAGAAAAGCTATGAGAAAAGAAGATGAGGAAAGGGGGGGATTAGAAAGAAGAAAGGCGATGGTGTGTGTGTGTGTGCTGCTTTCAAGGATCAAAAGGGAGAGGGATTAAAGCCACAAAGGGCCTCACCCCCCCCCCCCCCTCAAAGCCTATGGAGGAGGGAGAGAGAAGCGTGTGTGTGCTACTGATGATGATGAATACTGAAGCATAGATCTACACAAAGAATAAGGGTTGGCATATAAAGCGAAGAACATCTTCCGAGAGGCAGACAATCAGAAGAAAAAAAAAGAAAAGCATATGCACCGAGAACAAGGCGCAGAAAGGAAGATGAACAGCAACAAGATCAGGAAGAAGAAGAAGAAGCACAAGAGCGAAATTCTGACAGATGCAGAATCAATCGATCGATCGATCTTTGCAAAGCGATTTTTACCTGGTGCCAGTGGGCTGCATCCATGCAAGAGGGCTCTCCAACTGCGTCTACCTCGCTGCCCCCCCAACAATTCTTGCTCCTCCGGGCACCTGAGGAGACGAAGCGCAACGAAGACGAAGACGACGAGCGAGCTCCACCTCCTGATGCAGCAGCTGGTGGATTTCTTGAGCAGAAGGGAGAGAGAGAAGAGAATGTCCTGTGGTTGGGGCAGTGAGTGGAATTATGCCTCCTCCCTATCTCTGCACCCTCCTCTCTCTCTCTCTCTCTACCCACATACGTTTTGCTGAAATAGCCAAGCTGCTAGTGGATTCTTTTATTATATATATTTCGCTACTACTCCTCCGCTCCTCCAGCTCTACCAGAAACTCGGCAGAGACGAGATGAGCTACTACTCCAAAACTTTGAAGCGCTATATACTATATTTCTGTCAAATTAAGCTCGGCCGCTGATGATGATGATGTTCTTCTTGCTCAAGCACAGGGCACACGCGAGTATTATTATCAGGGGTATGCGACCGAGTGAATGGATGGATGGATGCTCGTTCGGTCAGGGATTCCGAAGAAAAGAGGAGGAAAGCCACCGGTGGAAGCCCTGGGAATGGCGGTTTGTGGGGGCTCTCGCGTCGCGCGTGCGTAGGACGGCGCGGCACGTGCGGCCAACCGCGGCCATCTTTTTATAATTCCATGGGGGCGTCACTGTGCGGTGTCACCTTTTTTCCGTTTTCCATTTTTTTTCTTTCTTTCTTCTTCTTCTACTTCTCCCCCACCTCAGCGGCTGTGCCTTTTCTTGTTGTGCGACAGGGCACCAGCCTCTTTGTTTTCAGTGTACAGTTGTGGCTCGTGTAATTCTTCTCTGATTGCAGTGCATATGCCCACACCGAAGGTGGTTGTACTACCATCGTCGTGTTAAACTTGAACAGTAACCGGGAGATGGGATATATGGGCCCATATGAGACTCAGAGATTTCAATCGGAGTGGGATCCGTTGGACATTGTCCTTGGAAATGAACGGTGGGAGCAGCAACAGGGGCAGGGTCAGAAAAAAACTTGTGGAAAGAGAGCGCAGTCAGAATTACATCATGGGTAGAAATATAGAATAACGGGTTTTTAACATCACGGGTAGAATAACAGATTTTTGCTAACTTAATTACTAGTGTACATTTGTATGTAGAACTGGATGTATATAAACAATTGAAAAAGGGCAAACTTACCTCAATTTAGCAGCCATCCCTATCTATCTTGGCCCGATGCAAAATACAAGATGAGACCTTACTTATCCATCTAATGACGATTTGGCTTAAGTAGAAAAAGAATCACTATCAAATTAGTTTTTCTTATTAAGTGAAAAAAATAGAAATATATTGTTTGCAACACACATCCACGTCATCATCATGAAGTACGTTCTTAGAGATAACCAATTATCATTGAACACTCGTTGAAGCTGAGAAAAAAATTATTCCGACCAAATTAGTGCAGCATAAAGATAAAAAAAAAGAGACCGAAGAGATCGCTATAAACATATCAGAACGCATTGGCATATAATGAAGCACACAAGGGGCCCCTAATATTTTGAGGTCATGTATGGTCGCTCATCTCACATGTGTCTAAAGATAGGGTTGTAATTTGGCAAGATTACTTCTAGACTTTAGGAGTTGAGCTTAATTAAACAAAGAAGATATAATTCAACTAGGAGCAACTTTTTCTTGATGTATGGATTGTAGCCTTGTGGGTAAGGGATGGGAGAGGAACATATTGACATCTAGGTGCTTCAACAATAGCAAATGGTGAGAAGGAGGCAAAGCGCATGTGGTCGCTTTCATATAAGGATTCAAATGGTTCAGATATATTAAAAAAAGGAACGAATACCTTAGATATGAAAACGAAAATGAATAGTATTGTTGAATATAGTTACACTACGATTAAGGCCACAAATAGTAATCAAAGCATAAAACACTTTATTGTGGCTTCTGACATAAACACATAAACATATAGATATAAAGTTCTTATATTGTATATCGAATATTAGATTAAATTCTTTAAATTTTAGTAACCATGTAGCTGTATCATATAAACATGTAGAAATCATGAACTCTCTAGTGTGCATAAGTTATATAGAAGAGCTACAGTTAATTAGTTATAAAATAATTACACTATGTAAAAGACTATGTTAAGATCCATGTATAAAAATTGATTTATTTTTGGATGGAGAAAGTAATAAACATGTTGTACAAGCCTACCAAAGTAATTGTATGCACAGCGCACGTTATATGGAAGTTCGATGCACATGTTGAAACACTCGTGCCAATTCATCCTGGTACGTGCATGCGTGGACAATCTCTAGCAAAGAGGCATGGCCTACTCTTAGACAGTCCCAAACCTCCACCTTAGCTAGTTTCCATAGCATTAAATACACTGCCACTTAAAAAAATTTCTGATATGGCAAGAGAGTTAATGTGGAGAGAGGAAAAAAGATGAATAATCCATTTCTCATGCAAGAAACTGGATCTACATAGAAACCAAGAAAGAAAATAAGGGGATATGTGGATGGAGAGAGAGAGAAGACATCATTGGATGAAAATCTATGTTGAAGAAACCACCAATTGAGCCATAGTTTCTATACGTAGTGTCTATATGACATAATAAGTATGAAAAATTCTTGGATGCTTCATGGGTTAAGATTGTCCTAAGAGCATCTGCAATGTGGGAATTAGAAGGGGCACTAAGAGAATCTTTTCACGGTAGCAAAGGCTCTATACATTGCGAACACAGGTCTCAAGTATAGTAAAGGGCTCTTCCCTTGAGACCAGGTATCTTAAATAAAAAACAGTATTTATTTTACAAGTATGCCATGAATTCATTTTGATGGTCATGGGTGTGGGTCTCATTATAGAGTTGGATATGTCATATACATTGCACAAATCTCTCTATTTCCTTATGCATAGTAGGTGGAGCCTATTTTAGTAATTATGGGTTATTATGAATCTATAAGATAAGAGCATCTCCAACAGAGTGGCTATCTCACCTCCAAGTTAAATTTTCGCAATTTTGGATAGAAAAAAATGCACTCCAATAGACTTGCCAACCGGATGGCCAGCCGGGGCCAAACTCCTCCATGCGTTGGCCAAATTAAGTTGGCTAGCCCAAGTTGCCTAGCTAATTGTGGGCCCCACACATTTTTCTCTTTCTTCTTTCCCGTACTCCCTCCCCCTCCCCAGATCAAGTGCATCGCTGGCACTGTCCTTCTGCTGCGCCTTGTTTTCTTCCACGTCGTCGTCCTTAGATCGAGCGCTGTCGGCTCCAAAAGCGCGCACCACCGCTGTGGTCCCTCCGCTATGACACCATGCGTTGCGCCGTCATCCCTCCAGTGCGGCCCCGGACCGCTGTGGCCGTCTTCCGCGGTTGCACAACACCGCCGTCCACAGCCCTGTCGTCCTGAACGGCGACAGCTGACCGGGATGGAACCCGAGCTCGCCATCCTTGCCGAATTGCTCCCTCTCCGGTGCGACTGCCCCGCCTCCATCGTTGCCATTGACTGCCTCCCCCTTCAATTATCGCCGGTGTGCCGGTAGTGGGTGGGGACTTGAACTCTCCAAGCTGTGGAGAGAAGTGAGGAAGGAGGGAGAGGAGCTGGCGTGTGGGTTCCACTACAAAAATGGAGAGGTTGTTGGAGTGAAAACAAAATTGATTCTCTATTCAACTGGCAAGCTGGTTGAATGGGTATTCGGAGAGGCTGTTGGAGATGCTCTAAGAGCAACCCCAGTGTGTGTTCGACTACTACAGTTGATGAATGGCGAATGTAACTTTGTTTGGTGGCTGCAGCATTTGCATAGATTTATGGGACCCACATACAGTAAATGAAGTAGAGAGGAAATTGTAAATTGCGTGACTCGATTTGGATATGTACGTTCAATCCCATTTGCAAGAAATAGTATTTATTTGTCTAGCATTGATTCATGTTTGTTGTTGATTTTGCTATTTGACACACAACAATCGACTCCAATGTGTGTTGTGTTCAATATTTTTGGCTCACAGTTCAATTTCTTTGCATACTGGAGCTGCTATAAGACGTACTAGCACTGTTGGAAAAAGGCTCTTTACTCCCGGTTTACAACACCTTTAATCTTGGGTCGTAAACCAGCACGTCCAATCCAGGACTATAGGTTAAAAGAACCGGGACTAAAGTTTTTTTTCTCTTTTTTTCCATTGTTACAGATCATGCACAACAAAATCATCCACAATACATACCCATCCACAATCCACAAATCATTCACAAAATTATCCACGAACTAAAAAAATTTACAACATCTACAAATCAAAAAAAAAATCCACAAATCCGCCAGCCGTGCACGGCCTCCTGGCCTCCCGACTTCCACCGGGCCGCCGCTCAGCCGGCGCCCAGCCGCCGCCGCTGCAGCGTCCGCAGCCCGCCGCCGCGGCCCCTTCCGTCGGCCCACCGCGGCCACATCCGCCTGCGCGGCCGCAGCCTCGTGCGCCGCCCGTAGGTGAGGGGAAGCCGGGAAGGGGAGGAAGGGGGAGGAGAGAAAATGGGGAGAGGAAGGGGATTGAAGGAAGGGGGAGGAGAGGAGAGGGGAGGAGATACGATCGAGACTGCGAGTCTGTGAGAGCAGGCAGCGTGCGGTTCGGGGAAGCCGCGATTTTTTTTTAATCTTGGTCCCGGTTGGTATAACCAACCGGACTAAATATGGATCATTAGTCCGCCAACCGGGACTAAAGATAATGGTGTACTCACATGTTTGTGAACGGGACTAAAAATGATCTTTAGTCCCGATTGGTGTTACTAACCGGGACTAAAGATCATCTAAGTTCCGTGGTAGTTTTAAACCAGAACAAAAAAAGTTGTTAATTACCGGTTAGAATAGGAACCGAGACTAATGTGTTTTTTGGCCAACCCGGTAAAGATTAGTTCTCAAGTAGTGTAGGAAATGTGTAGCGCCTAGGAGTCATTATGCATGCGTACATATGTATAGACAAGAACCTGCCAAAATTCGCCAATTTGTTTACCGAACCCCCTTGCATCCCTGTCATTAGCACGTTTCTGTTTCCATTTCGGTTTCGTCGTGTGTGTACTCGGTCTTAGCTGCCGCCAGATATACAAGTTACACCGTTATACTACGTTGGCACTGCTCAGTGCTCACCACTCTCTACGTATGGTCATTTTTCTTTAGCGCACCTGGCTATATAGCGACCTCGATGCTCTTAGGTTTCTAGTCCCAAAATAGGCTCAATTGGTGATACTCATACGTACTTAGCCAGCGAGCCAAGATACATGTATTATTAAGCTTCTAGTCCAAAATAGGCTCAATTGGTGATACTCATACGTACTTAGCCAGCGAGCCGAGATACGTGTATTATTAGGCTGTGTTTAGTTCAGCATAAAGTTTAGATTTTGGTTGAAATTGGAGATGATGTGATTGAAAAGTTGTATGTGTATGGTAGATCGATGTGATAGAAAATGACTAAAGTTTAGATCCAAACTTTAGATCTAAACGCAGCCTTAAGCTTCTAGTCCACACCACCTGCGTGTCGGGGTCATCATGTCACGAGCATGCATGCAGCCAGTCTACTCGGCTCGCTCGACCAGTCGATTCCCAGGTTGGTGCATACTTGTAGGA